ACGAAAAGACAAAAAAAAAAAAAAAAAACCCTCCCACCCCAACCTCGATGGCAATTCCCCTTCATGACCGCCGCTGCCGCCTCCCTCTTTGTTTATATTCCTTCCTCCTTCTCTCTTTCATGCACAAAGAGCGTAGAATAGCTGAAAATAAGGAAAGTAAGGTAATAAGGCTTTTTTTAATTAATTTTCTCTACAAAAACCAAATATAAGAGGTACAAAAATATAGGAAATAATGCACTTATCACTTACTAAGTATCTCAGTATTCTATTCGATTCCCCTTTCTCCAATATCGATGTTGGAAGAAAGACAAAAAAGTTACCACATTTTATTGGAAAAAAAATACGAAGAAGTACCCAATTATAATTTTCTAAACCGAAATTAACTCAAATTGATTGAACAATCCGTGCCAGAAGCTCGTTTTGACTGAATCTATTTGACAAACCGTCCAAGCACAATGCCAAAAGTAGGTTTATTGAGGGAAGGAATCCCTAACCACCCATCCCATACTATACGTCATATGAATGTTATCCATATCCCTTCTATATTCACTATGATGGCGAAAGACGCACTACAAGGCACATACCACTCCATGCATGTCGACATTCAAGTATCAATCATTGCTCCACAGCCCCAACCCCAGTCATCATCTCACCTCTTGTCTTCTTTCAATTTTTTTCTTCCAAGAAAACTTGAAGGAAAAACAAAAAAATAAGACTTTTCTCATCATTTTCAGGGAACCATTTTGTATGCTTAATTTGGGATATTCAATAAAAAAAATTAGCATGTTTACTTACAAGTAAAGGAAATTATAAGCAAGTGAATTATTTTCATTCATGAATTTCCATGCATTTACTTATACATGAGAAATCATTTAATATGCGAGTTTCACTTAAAAATCTTTAATCAAATATTCAAAGCAATGGAAATCGGATCCCTCCTAGTTGATTGATTCTTATTCCTTATTTATCCTATTCCGTTTCTTCTTATTCTGATTACTTATAAGTAAACATGTCATGGGTCTTTCTAAAAACATTCAATGGGAGCCACCACCTACTTTAAAGTTAGTTTTGATGGCCAACGTGGTCTACCTTAGTGGAAAAGTGCATTGACTTGTAGACCAGTAGTCACATGTTCGAATTCCCATGACATTTTGGCAGAGCCAACTATGAGATTTTAGGGGCCCTTTACAAAATTAGTAATATGACCTCCTAAAACAAAGTCTTGAACAAAAAGTATATAAAAAGAATTGGGGCATACATATTGATAGCAAATTTAAAAGTACTCATCAATATCTATATATTTTTTAATTATAAATATTATAATAGATTATCAAACAAATAATTCAACAAGGAACATAAAATCAAGGATCAACTTAAAAGAATCAAGGGATATAATTTCCTTTTGGATATGGATATATCATATATTGAATTTTTTTTTAATGCGAATATCATATATTAAGATAGAACAAATATATGACATATAATAATAAAATATATATATATACAATATAATAAATGTTAATTCTTTGGCAATGCCATGCTTGATGTCTAAGTTGAAATCCTCCTCTCACCTGTCAAAATTTCACATTGTAACTTGTGACAAATATGACAAATAAGATGAAACTAGATGTTGTAAAGGATCTACTAGTGTAGTGGTTTGGAGTAATTGCGCATCGGCAAGATACTGAGTTCGAGTCCTAGCATCAATGTAGTGTGTATGAATTTAGTATATTATTATCTCTCTCAATAAAAAAAAATTCCTAAAAAAATATATTAAAATGTTCCTGGAAAGTTTAAGTGCGGCTCCCACTTCTTGTTTTGGATGATATAATGAATGCTTGTGGAAAGTTCTGTTCTTAAAATCTGTTACAAATGATTCAAAGTTCTTTTGCCTTTTGCCTTTTGGCCGCGGATTCTTTCACGCGAGGAAATTTTAGGACAAAAATAACGCATTGACTTTTACAACTTTCGATCTACAACTGCTTGGGGTCACTTCGCATATTCTCTCTTAACTTAACCATCGGAGAGAAAATGTTATCCCGTTACTAGTAAGTTG